ACTCAGCCTTCCATCCTTCCGAGGTGGGTAAAATGAGGACCCGGATTGTTGTTGGGGGCGATATGCTGACTCTGTAAACCACTTAGAGAGGGCTGTAAAAGCACTATGAAGCGGTATATAAGTCTAACTGCTATTGCTATTGCTACAAATACGAACCCGTGGTCAAGCATCCAAATGTGAACCCCAAGACCATTAGAGGCCAAGGTGCTAAGTGTGAAAAATGGCCCTGTCCCCATTTTTCAGCGCTGTTGTAACTAAATGAAATGTTGTAAGTCGAGGATTACCTCTAACGGATTCCCTGCAAGCATACAGATGTTTCCAATCATCACACCACATCCTTGTGACCTAATTTAAGAATCCATATTAATATAAACTTACCTTTTTTCAAACCCACGTCTTGCATAGCGGGTGGTATTGTAGGTTTCACAGTAGGGTCAAAAAATGCCTTGCTCATGACTTTGATGGATGGGTGGGCGGATCCCAGCTCCTCTTCCGTTGACCAGTTTCTATTGGTCAAGGTCCTTTCATCTGTAATATTAGTTTTCACTGCTGAAGTTTCAGAGGCAACCTGAGAGGTTCCTTTAGATATACTCATATTTGGGTGCATCTGGTTGAAATGAAAAGACTGATTCGTTGTCGAAGGGGTCAGCTCCATTTTATTGTCCATTGATGGAACCCCAACCGAATCACTCTTATTCATGTTAGGAAAATGAATGTCGCTTCCATTTGAATGAAGGCACTTTTTACCCAACGAACCTGCATTGCAAGAAGAAGAATAAAGCATAATCAGCATATACAAAATGTATATTAACTTCCAGGAAAACATTCCATACACAACCTGTTCTATGAAAAAAGACAGTTGAAAGCTGCAATATTGGAAGGAGAAGAAACATGTTTTATTTTCTTTTGTTCTGATTTTAGCCATCATGACAACTGGTTACCAATAATTTTCCATGGATTATTTACTTTCCCAGTTTTCATCTAGCCAGTTGTACCTTTAAAAACGTACTTTAGGTTAAGTTAAAGGTTCCCCTTGCACATATGTGCTAGTCGTTCCTGACTTTAGGGGGCAGTGATCATCTCCGTTTCAAAGCAGAAGAGCCAGCGCTGTCCGAAGACGTCTCCGTGGTCATGTGGCCGGCATGACTAAGCGCCGAAGGCACACGGAACGCTGCTATCTTCCCACCAAAGGTGGTTCCTATTTTTCTACTTGCATTTTTACATGCTTTCGAACTACTAGGTTGGCAGAAGCTGGGACAAGTAACGGGAGCTCACTCCATCTAAGTGCTATTGCTATTCACTGAAGAAATATATAATACATATCAAAGATAATATATATCAACCATGCTATCTTTCTTTTATCACATTTCCTTGCCTTTTTGCTAATTTCTCCATATTATACTGCAAAATTATCTATTAAGGAGGAAAGAATGGCCACCTCATGTCTTCAAACTGGTACAATCAACAGCCAGACAGATGGAACCGTCCCAATCAGCCTAGGAAAACTGATGAGCAGTAATTAATTAATGAGTGCTAAATCTTAGCAACTTTAAGGTATGGACTTCAACTCCCAGAATGCCCCAACCAGCATATCTTAAAGTTACCAAGATTGAAAGACACTAAGCTAAAGGGTGATTTGACACAAGGTAAATGAA